CACCCATTTATTTATTTATTTAGCACAGGGTACTTATTTCCCTTGCTAAGTGGTATCTGTCAATATAGGCACAGAGTTAATTTTTTTAAACATTTTCTAATGGTGGTGTGCCTCGTGATTTTTTTCATGAAAAAAGTGTGCCTTTGCACAAAAAAGGTTGAAAAACACTGTATTAGACGCAGCCTCGGTTCTAAAAGTTGCATAAATGTATCCAGATGTAGATCATTTTAGTTTTCCTCCCTGAGAGAAAACATTTGGCATCAGCAGTTGCAGAAACAGACACCTTTTCTCACGCAGAATGAATTTAAAAAATGTTGCAAAGTAGGAAAGCTTTGGCCTTCCTTGTAGCCGGTCCCCATCTCACCCGAGATTTCAGCGGGTGGGATGCTCGTGCCCTGTCCCTTGTTAGATCACCATTAAAGGGGGTGTTTTGCGTTTCATTTGCATTTCTCCTTCTGCTGTTTTGTTACACACAAACAACACCTTGTTGTGTGTAAGTCCTGTGCACAGAGCAGCAAAATGCTTTCAGTTCAGGGGCGTTCAGTCCCAAGTGGAGGCAACAGCTTAAGCCAGGACTGTCAAATTGGACTTCACTGAGGGCTGCATCAGGGTTGTGTTTGACCTCAGCGGGTGGGGGTGGCCAGAGTGTGCATGGCCTCATGTCGGGGGTGCCTGTGGTGACCTGATGCCTCTGCCAGTGAAAATGGGCTCCCGAGCTCCATTTCTAGGTGCAACGGCCTCCTGCAATCCTCTACCAGTGAAAACGGAGCTAGGGAGGGCCATAAGCGGAACTGTCTCTCTCTCTCTCATTTCTCTTCTCTTTCTCTCTTTCTCCCTCTCTCCTCTCTCTCATCTCTAATCTCTCTTGTTCACTCTCATCTCTCATCTTTCTCTCCCTCATCTCTCTCTCATCTCTCTTTCTCTCTCTCTTTCTCATCTCTCTCATTTTTCTCTCTCTCATCTCTCTCTCTTTCTCTCTCTCTCTCATCTCTCTCTCATCTCTCTGTCTCTTTCTCTCTGTCATCTCTCTCTCTTTGTCTCTTTCTCTCATCTCTCTTTTTCTCTCTCTCTTTTTCTCATCTCTTTTTCTCATCTCTTTCTCCCTCTCCCTCTCCCTCTCCCTCTCCCTCCCCCTCCCTCTCTCCCTCTCTCTCTCTCT